GCCCCTCAGAGCGGCTGAAGCGCCCGACAGAGGCGCAGAAAGGCAGGGACAAGGGGGAGAGGCTGGTGAGCAGAAACGGGCTTCCACGGGGCGGGCGGGACCTCCCTGCTCCCCCCCTCTTCCCCCCCCCCCCCCGGCCTTCATGCCCCACCTCCTGCGCTGCTGCCTTCCAGCACTGCTCTAGGGAGAGGTGGCCACAGCTCAGGGCCAGAGCAATGGTGACGACACCTGTATACTCCTGGAAGGCTCTGTGCAGAGGTGCCTGTGGGCACCGGGCTGTGGGCACCGGGCTGTGGGCACCAGGCTGTGGGCACCAGGCTGTGGGCACTGGGCTGTGTAGGAGTGCGGGGCGTTGCTGTGGCCCTGGGCACCGGGCTGTGGGCACCGGGCTGTGGGCACTGGGCTGTGGGCACCAGGCTGTGGGCACTGGGCTGTGTAGGAGTGCGGGGTGTTGCTGTGGCCCTGGGCACCGGACTGTGGGCACCGGGCTGTGGGCACCGGGCTGTGGGCACTGGGCTGTGGGCATTGGGCTGTGTAGGAGTGCGGGGCGTCCCTGTGGCCCTGGGCACCGGGCTGTGGGCACCGGGCTGTGGGCACTGGGCTGTGGGCACCAGGCTGTGGGCACTGGGCTGTGTAGGAGTGCGGGGTGTTGCTGTGGCCCTGGGCACCGGACTGTGGGCACCGGGCTGTGGGCACCGGGCTGTGGGCACTGGGCTGTGGGCATTGGGCTGTGTAGGAGTGCGGGGCGTCCCTGTGGCCCTGGGCACCGGGCTGTGGGCACTGGGCTGTGGGCACCGGGCTGTGTGGGGGTGCAGGGCGCTCCTGTGGCCCTGGGCACCGGGCTGTGGGCACCGGGCTGTGGGCACCAGGCTGTGGGCACTGGGCTGTGTAGGAGTGCGGGGCGTTGCTGTGGCCCTGGGCACCGGGCTGTGGGCACCGGGCTGTGGGCACTGGGCTGTGGGCACCAGGCTGTGGGCACTGGGCTGTGTAGGAGTGCGGGGTGTTGCTGTGGCCCTGGGCACCGGACTGTGGGCACCGGGCTGTGGGCACTGGGCTGTGGGCATTGGGCTGTGTAGGAGTGCGGGGCGTCCCTGTGGCCCTGGGCACCGGGCTGTGGGCACTGGGCTGTGGGCACCGGGCTGTGTGGGGGTGCAGGGCGCTCCTGTGGCCCTGGGCACCGGGCTGTGGGCACCGGGCTGTGGGCACTGGGCTGTGGGAACTGGGCTGTGTAGGAGTGCGGGGCATCCCTGTGGCCCTGGGCACCAGGCTGTGGGCATCGGGCTGTGTGGAGGTGCAGGGCGCTCCTGTGGCCCTGGGCACCAGGCTGTGGGCACCGGGCTGTGTGGGGGTGCAGGGCGCTCCTGTGGCCCTGGGCACCGGGCTGTGGGCACCGGGCTGTGGGCACTGGGCTGTGGGCACTGGGCTGTGTAGGAGTGCGGGGCATCCCTGTGGCCCTGGGCACTGGGCTGTGGGCACTGGGCTGTGGGCACCGGGCTGTGTGGGGGTGCAGGGCGCTCCTGTAGCCCTGGGCACCGGGCTGTGGGCACCGGGCTGTGGGCACTAGGCTGTGGGCACTGGGCTGTGTAGGAGTGCGGGGCATCCCTGTGGCCCTGGGCACCGGGCTGTGGGCACCGGGCTGTGTGGAGGTGCAGGGCGCTCCTGTGGCCCTGGGCACCGGGCTGTGGGCATTGGGCTGTGTAGGAGTGCGGGGCGTCCCTTGGCCCTGGGCTGTGTAGGAGTGTAGGGCACCCCTGTGGCCCTGGGCACCAGGCACTCGGAAGTAAGGCGGATGCACAGATTGGCTATCTCACAGGTGTGATCAGCGTTTCCCCCGGGGAGGGGGGGCTCTGATGGCACACCCCCCCCGCTGGTGGGGACAGGTATGGGGCCTGCTCCAGCCTCCTCCGTTCCCTTCCACTGCTCCCCATTCCGCTGTGGGGGGCGTCCCTGGGGGAGGGGTCTGGGGTCTGGATGACCGCTACCTCCAGGAGGGCACCAGCGTTTGTGTGTGCAGGCGTGCACACATGAGCCCCAGTGAACATATTCTCAAGTGACACAGGAGCGAGCCCCATCCCCGGGAATGACCTAGTGTCTGGGTTTCTCTCTCGAGTTTCCGCTTCCTTTCATGACCCTGGGCTTAAAAGCAACAGCGGCACGTTGTTTACTACCGGTGACCTCCTTGAGTTTTAATGAGGGAAGTATGGCCAGGACGGCTGTAATGATGGAGCCCGGCCAGGCGTCAGGTGCTGGAATGGTAAGGGAGGCCACTGTCGCCCTCCCCCGCGCCCCCCCACGCCCGCCCGCCCCTCCCCCCACATCCTCATGCCGGATGCTGGCATTCGCGCCCCATGCCTTGGTGCCCCATGGGCACGGGACCAGTCCTGGGCCCAGTGCATGCCAAGCACGTGCCCACACCAGGCCTGGCCGGCATTACGGGACTCACAGAGCACTGTCCTGCCGAGCACGTGAGAGCCAAACCTGGGGTCATGGAGAGCTTTCTGCTGCCTCCTCAAAGACCCAGTGGGAAGAAAGCTGCAAGCAGGGACATGCTACCTCACCCCGGGCCTGCACCCTGGCCCCTGCCTGCCTGCAGCCGGCCAGCCAGACCAGCTGGCCAGCCAGACCAGCCGGCCAGCCAGACCAGCCGGCCAGCCAGACAAGGCGGCCAGCCAGACCAGACGGTCAGCCAGACCAGCCGGCCAGCCAGACCAGATGGCCAGCCAGACCAGCCGGCCAGCCAGACCAGGCGGCCAGCAAGACCAGGTGGCCAGTCAGACCAGCCGGCCAGCCAGACCAGGCGGCCAGCCAGACCAGGCGGCCAGCAAGACCAGGTGGCCAGTCAGACCAGCCGGCAAGTCAGACCAGGCGGCCAGTCAGTCCAGACGGCCAGCCAGACTATATGGCCAACCAGACCAGACGGCCAACCAGACCAGACGGCCAGTCAGACCAGGCGGTCAGTCAGACCAGCCGGCCAGCCAGACCAGCCGGCCAGCCAGACAAGGCGGCCAGCCAGACCAGACGGCCAGCCAGACCAGGCGGTCAGTCAGACCAGACGGCATGGGCTTCCAGCGTCCCCACTTGAAAATGATGGCAGTGTCCACTCCGGCCTGGCCATCGGCTGGTTCTAGCAAGAGGGACCACAGAGGGAAGGTGTGTGACACCTGGCTTCGGTTCTCAGTGCCCCGCAGGCCTCTGGGGCCGGGAGGAGTGTGGGCACACCAGCTGCGCGGCCCCAGAGCCGGCGAGGCCGCGGTGGGGGACGAGGAGGCGGGGGGCAGGAGGAGGGGTGTGAATGAGTCCCGCTGGGAAAGCCAGACTCCAAGCTTCCACATGAATGCTTTGAAAGGGGGCCTGGCCTGGGGTGCCCCCAGGGGGTGCACGAGCTCGGGGGTGCAGACCGGGCCCCCTGGACCGGCCGTGCTCTGAACCCCCTCCTCAAAGAGGAGCGTGCCCGTGACCTGCGGGGGAGGGGCGGGGAGCAGGTCGCCTGGTGGAGCCTTAATTACCACTGTATCCCGTGGGGCTCTGAGCGCTGTCCGTGGTCGGAGCCACGGGGATACTCAGTGGCCAAGATCCCCACGGGCCGCGCTGCGGGACACACAGCGGCCTCGCTCTGGCGATAGCTCTAGTCCCCGTCCTCTATTACATGAACCCAGCCCCTGCGTGGATCTCACGAGCTCTGTGGATTCCTGACACTTCCCAGGACCAGAGCTGAAGACAGCCATCAAGACCGGTAGACACACTACACCTGTCCTAAACCCACACTGGTCCCCACCCTCCCAGCAGGGCCCGCAGCCCCAGCTCCCCCCCCCCCCCCGAAGCCCAGCTTCCCAGTCTCCAACTGCGCATTGCCCTCTCCTCTTGGTTGCCCGTACTTGGCTTTGACTGTCTGTCCCCTTCTTCCAAAAGGCTGGAGACCGAGAGAGGCACTGAGTGTCACCGAGTTAGGGGTGGCTGCAGGGGTGCAGAGGTGCGAGGCTGGGCCCGGGAGTGTCGCTCCTTGCTGGGGGGATGCTGCCACGCTAGTCTGGAAGTCCTCGTCCCCCGGCCCGTCCAGCACGCCAGGCCGGAAGACGCCACAGGCCCCCGCGGAGGACGGGCCGGACACCGCTCTTCCAGACCGCGCCCAGGCCGCCCCCGCCCCCAGCCGCGCCAGCTCGGGCCACAGCGTGTGAGACAGGCTTCGTGTGGCCTCTCTTCCCGGAGCAAAGGGGAGATCCACAGTGCTAGCATACACCGTTGCTAGTCCCGGGTTCCACTCAAGATCCACTCAGTCTTGTTTGGGGTCCCACTGTCACCAGACCTCCGACAGCAGGCTCCACGCACAGGGCATGCCCGCTGGAGGGGCAGGAAGCCGGGGGTAGCGGACGCCACAGCCAAGACCCTCAACGGCACTGAGGCCCCCTCCATGCTCAGGCTCTCTTCACTGGCAGAAAAGCCACGGCGGGATCCAGGGCCCAGGGACTTATGATGGGGCTGGCGCTGACCCTGCCCCCCAGGGCCCAGGGACCTGATGGGGCTGGCGCTGACCCCCCAGGGACCTACGATGGGGCTGGCGCTGACCCCCCAGGGACCTGATGGGGCTGGCGCTGACCCCCCAGGGCCCAGGGACCTGATGGGGCTGGCGCTGACCCCCCAGGGACCTGATGGGGCTGGCGCTGACCCCCCAGGGGCCTGAATGGGCTGGCTCTGACCCCCCAGGGCCCAGGGACCTACAATGGGGCTGGCGCTGACCCCCCAGGGGCCTGATGGGGCTGGCGCTGACCCCCCAGGGGCCTGATGGGGCTGGCGCTGACCCCCCAGGGCCCAGGGACCTACGATGGGGCTGGCGCTGACCCCCCAGGGACCTGATGGGGCTGGCGCTGACCCCCCAGGGCCCAGGGGCCTACGATGGGGCTGGCGCTGACCCCCCAGGGACCTGATGGGGCTGGCGCTGACCCCCCAGGGCCCAGGGGCCTACGATGGGGCTGGCTCTGACCCCCCAGGGCCCAGGGACCTACGATGGGGCTGGCGTTGATGTAGTCAGAACCGCTGAGGCTGTTCTCCGCTTTCAGCAGGATCCTGGCGTGGTCATCTGCAAGAAGCCCAGAGCAGAGGGTCAGACCGGTGCTGCCGTCACCCAGGGCCAGAGAGGCCTCCTCCCCCAGCCAGGCCCGGGACTCCTCCCTCAGCGAGGCCCTGGCCTCCTCCCCCAGTGAAGACTGGGCCTCCTCCATCCGTGAGCCCGAGCCTTCTCTCCCACTGAGGACCGGGCCTCCCGCCTCAGCGAGGCCCCGGGCCTCCTCCCCAGCCAGGCTTCCCTTCCCTCCCTGCTAGAAGGGACGGCAGGGATGTACCACAAAGTGCGCAGCTGGCAGGAGTTAGATAGTCAGATGCTTTTCTCTTATACAACCCTTGTGGAAGTTTTTGTCTCCGTGGTGTTTTAAAAAGGGTTTGTCTTTAAGAATAGACGTATCTGTCAGCATACAGTAAAGGATGCAGACAAGAATACCAACAGACCACTGTCAAAAACATCACGTTCTGTAGTGCAGATAAATGACTAAATCCCTGAAGTTACCAGAATTTAGTTTTAAAAGCGAGCAAGAAAATGTGGATGAAAGAACAGAGGGGGAGCGTGAGGGGGACACGCCACCGCGAAAACGTGTCTCCACAGGCAAGTCACCCCACGGGGGCGCGGGCTGTGGCTGCCGCGCTGGCGGGCATGGAGGCTGGGTCTTCCCGTCCGGGCCTCCTGCTTGCTGTGACCCTCTCTGCCTCACGTACAGGGACTTTCAAACCTTGGCTTCAGCCGGAAGAGTTAGGGACGCTGGCGGACACGGGCAGACACAGGCGGGCGGGGGGGGGGGGGTGGCGGCACGGGAAGGCACAGGGCCTTACTCTGCCCCCTGGTCCCTGCTCTAGGCCTCCCCTCAGAGCACACAGCACCACCCACACCACAGACAACGGAGACTCTGTGCCCCAGCCAGCCGCTGGGACTGCCCTAGAGCTGCACCCGGCCACCCCAGCTCCCCGTGTCTGCCCCCATGGAAGGCAGGAAGGAAGAAAGGGAGAGAGAAGGGAAGAGGAAGGAAAGAAGGAAGGGATGGATAGAAGGAGGGAAGGAAAGAGGAAGGAATGAAAGAAGGGAGGAAAGGAAGGAATGAAGAAAAGGAGGAAGGAAGAAGGAAGGAAAGAAGGAAGAAGGAAGGAAGAAAAGGAGGAAGGAGAAAAGAAGGAAGGAGGAAGAAGGAAGGAAGGAAGGAAGGAAGAAAAGGAGGAAGAAAAAAGAAGGAAGGATAGGAAGAAGGAAGGAAGAAGAAAGGAAGTCTAGAAGGAGGAAGGAGAAAATAACAATAGCCTCCCGAGCTACAGTAACCACAGCCTGTGAGCTACAGTCACCACAGCCTGTGAGCTACAGTAACCACAGCCTCTGAGCTACAGTCATCACAGCCTGTGAGCTACAGTCACCACAGCCTGTGAGCTACAATAACCACAGCCTCTGAACTACAGTCACCACAGCCTGTGAGCTACAGTAACCACAGCCTGTGAGCTACAATAACCACAGCCTGTGAGCTACAGTCACCACAGCCTGTGAGCTACAGTAACCACAGCCTGTGAGCTACAGTAATCACAGCCTCTGAACTACAGTCACCACAGCCTGTGAGCTACAGTAACCACAGCCTGTGAGCTACAATAACCACAGCCTCTGAACTACAGTCACCACAGCCTGTGAGCTACAGTAACCACAGCCTGTGAGCTACAATAACCACAGCCTGTGAGCTACAGTCACCACAGCCTGTGAGCTACAGTAACCACAGCCTGTGAGCTACGGTCATCACAGCCTGTGAGCTACAATAACCACAGCCTGTGAGCTACAATAACCACAGCCTGTGAGCTACAGTAACCACAGCCTCTGAGCTACAGTCATCACAGTCTCTGAGCTACAGTAACCACAGCCTCTGAGCTACAGTCACCACAGCTTGTGAGCTACAGTCACCACAGCCTCTGAGCTACAGTCACCACAGCCTGTGAGCTACAGTAATCACAGCCTCTGAGGTACAGTAACCACAGCCTCTGAGGTACAGTAACCACAGCCTGTGAGCTACAGTCACCACAGCCTCTGAGCTACAGTTACCACAGCTTCTGAGCTACAGTCACCACAGCCTCTGAGCTAGTTACCACAGCCTCTGAGCTACAGTAACCACAGCCTGTGTACTACAGTCACCACAGCCTGTGAGCTACAGTAACCACAGCCCCTGAGCTACAGTAACCAGAGCCTCTGAGCTACAGTCACAACTGCACACCCAGGCTTTACCCCACCCATTCCCATCGCCTCCCACTCCTGCAGACAGGAGCTCCACCCACTCTCCCATCTGCAAATCCAGCGGCGGCCAGCTGTTGGTACACCCCAACCTCTGTCCTTCTCCTCAGGCTGCACCTTGTGTTTTTACTGGGCGGCCGGATGGCCCAGGGCTGTCTCCTGAGTCCTGGAGACCTGCGTGGAGTCCTCGCCTCCTGACCTTTGTCATAGGAAAGGACGGGTGAGGATGTGCGTCTGGGGTAGGGTGCCACTGTGCTACACAGCTCAGCAAGGTGGTGAGGAATGGCTACCAGGGAGCTGGGTCCCACAAACGCCAGACTTCGCCTCTGAGATCTCGTGTTTCTGCCCTGGGCCATAGGCCACAGCCGTGGTCATGATCAGAGCGGTGAGGTTGGTGTGGCCGCTGGTGAGCAGACTGTTCGTCTGCTGTTGGCAGTGCAGCTGGGCAGCAGCAGTGGGGAGAGGTGGACGGGAGAGGCGGGGCAGGGAGGGCGAGTCCGGCCCTCTCCTCCCGCAGCAGCTGGACACGGCCTGGCCAGGGCCGGCCCCACAGGCAGAGGTCGGCTCCTCACAGCTCTACAGAACAAGACACAGGTCACGCGTGCCTGTCTGCAAGGGAGCATGGCTTTGTTAGACACAAATGGGGGAAAGCAGAGGCTGTCTTCATATGAAAGGACTGACATGCCTGGCGGTGGCTCACACCTGTGATTCTAGCTACCCAGGAGGATGAGGTCTGAGGATTGCAGTTTGAAGCCAGCCCAGGAGGAAAGTCTGAGTCTCTTACCTCCAATGAACCACCAGACAAGCTGGAAGCAGCCTTGAGAGAAAAGGCCAGGGTGCAAGGTGCAGGCATGGAGTTCAAGCCCAGGCCCGGCACCACTACCAGGGAAGATGGATGGGTGTAAGCCTCAAATTGGACGGTGAGCCTTCGACAGAGCCACGCAGGGGAAGGCAGTGCAGCCTTGCTGACGGACAGGAAGGGTGGGGTGTGGCGAGCCTCGTTCCCTGGACGTGGAGGTGGCGCGGTGCCACCGATGGCAGCTTTTGGGGGAGTCTGTGTCGCTTCCAGTGACCTTGGGGTCTGCAGGGTCCCTCGCTGCCCCTGCGCTGGCGGCTCCCTTGGCCCGGGGATGGCTCGGAGCACGGGGTGGGGTGCCGGCCGGAGATGGAGCTGGCGTTTAGCCTCATGCTTGACTTCACGTGCTTGTTGGGCACTGGCCAGGCCTCCTGGGGTCTGGGGCCAGCCTGACCGGCTCAGCTCTCAGCCCTGACCTGAGAGGGTGGCGACAAACCACAGTGTGTGTGGGGAGAACGGGGCCAGCGCGCCCTGCCGACGGTTTGCAGCCCCGCCTTGAAGATGAGCGAAAAGGACCCGTCAGGAAAGCCCAGGGGGAGGCGGCGGGGCCAGCGCGCCTGCCTGGCCTGGCCAGACCCCCTCTATCACGGAGGGACGGTGGGGCTCAGCTCCTGACCAGGGCGGAGGGGCAGGGCTGATGGCCCTACAGACACCGCTGGATGACGGTGGCCAGAGCCCAGGAGTGAGCTGCAGAGGCACACTATGCCCTCAAGAAAGAGCACTTAGAGGTGGAGCCGGCACCCAGACCCTAAGCTTGCAGTGAGAGCCAGAACTGGATCCCACACCCGGAGCCTGCACCGAGACCCAGACCTAGAGCCCGCACCCAGACCTGGAGCCCACACCCAGACCCGTAGCCTGCACCCAGACCTGGAGCCCACACCCAGATCCGTACCCTGCACCGAGACCCAGGCCTGGAGCCTGTACCCAGACCCAGTACCAGACCCACACCCAGACCTGGAGCCTGCACCCAGACCTGAAGCCCGCACCCAGACCCGTAGCCTGCACTGAGACCCAGACCTGGAGCCTGCACCCAGACCCAGAACTGGACCTACACCCAGACCTGGAGCCTGCACCCAGACCTGGAGCCCACACCCAGAGCTGGGGCTGGCACCCAGACCTGGAGCCCGGGACCCAGACCCAGAATCAGATCCCACACCCAGAGCCGGAGCCCGCACCCGCACCCCCGCGGGGCCCTTGGGAGGGCCCCAAAGGCTCCTCCTGGAACGGCAGGCAGGTTGCTGTCACCTCTCTGACTGGAGTGAGCCCACAGATGCGCCCTGGTGCCGGCCCCGCGTGTCTGTCTGTATGCACGCATCCTTGGCTTTCCATTCGCTTGAGGTTGGCTTGCCTCTTACAGCCTCCTCCATCTCCATTTCTGTGATTATACGGAGCCCGACCCATTTTTGTGCCGTAAAACAGCACGTGTTGGTGGGCGAGCAGCGACGTGCCAGCAAGCACGGCGGTCTGTGGTCACCATGCTTCTGAAGGCCAGCCACACCAGTTCCTCATCCCGGGCTCTGCCGGCAGTGGACGAGGCACAGAGCCCAGGGCCGTGCAGCTGCAGACTCCCAGGAGACGCCACGGAGGGGCTGCAGCCCACACCGGCCACAGGAGGGCCCGGACTCGGCCCAGACGTCAGACGCAGCATCTGCCACCAAGCCCAGGAGTGGGGGGCCACTGCTGCCCGCAGGGGACATCGCAAGCACCAACTGCAGAACACCTGAGGTCCCAAACTCCTCTCCCCTCCCAGAGCCGCCCCTCACACCGCACCCCTCCCTCCAGACTCAACACCCCTCCCGTCCCCCACCACGCAAGGAAGAAGTCCTCAGAAACCTCAGGGGAGCAATCACAAAGTTCAACATGCAGCACTGGCTCCTGGTACGCATGGGTGGTGCTAAGCACTGTCACTTCAAGGCAGTGTGCCAAGTGCAAAGGAGGGAGAGGTACAGGCCACATGGCAGCCACAGAACCCCCTCCACAGGGCCTGTGCACACAGCAGCCACAGAACCCCCTCCACAGGGCCTGTGCACACAGCAGCCACAGAACCACGTCCACAGGGCCTGTGCACACAGCAACCACAGAACCACGTCCACAGGGCCTGTGCACACAGCAGCCACAGAACCCCCTCCACAGGGCCTGTGCACACAGCAGCCACAGAACCCCCTCCACAGGGCCTGTGCACACAGCAGCCACAGAACCATGTCCACAGGGCCTGTGCACCCAAAACCACGTCCATGGAGCCTGTGAACGCAGAACCACGTCCACGGGGCCTGTGCACCCAAAACCACGTCCATGGAGCCTGTGAACGCAGAACCACGTCCACAGGGCCTGTGCACCCAAAACCACGTCCATGGAGCCTGTGAACACAGAACCACGTCCACAGGGCCTGTGCACCCAAAACCACGTCCATGGAGCCTGTGAACGCAGAACCACGTCCGCGGGGCCTGTGCACCCAAAACCACGTCCATGGAGCCTGTGAACGCAGAACCACGTCCACGGGGCCTGTGCACCCAAAACCACGTCCGCGGGGCCTGTGAACACAGAACCACGTCCGCGGGGCCTGTGCACCCAAAACCACGTCCATGGAGCCTGTGAACGCAGAACCACGTCCGCGGGGCCTGTGCACCCAAAACCATGTCCATGGAGCCTGTGAATGCAGAACCATGTCCGCGGGGCCTGTGCACCCAAAACCACGTCCATGGAGCCTGTGAACGCAGAACCACGTCTGCGGGGCCTGTGCACCCAAAACCACGTCCATGGAGCCTGTGAACGCAGAACCACGTCCGCGGGGCCTGTGCACCCAAAACCACGTCCATGGAGCCTGTGAACGCAGAACCACGTCCGCGGGGCCTGTGCACCCAAAACCACGTCCATGGAGCCTGTGAACGCAGAACCACGTCCGCGGGGCCTGTGCACCCAAAACCACGTCCATGGAGCCTGTGAACGCAGAACCACGTCCGCGGGGCCTGTGCACCCAAAACCACGTCCATGGAGCCTGTGAACGCAGAACCACGTCCGCGGGGCCTGTGCACCCAAAACCACGTCCATGGAGCCTGTGAACGCAGAACCACGTCCGCGGGGCCTGTGCACCCAAAACCACGTCCATGGAGCCTGTGAACACAGAACCACGTCCGCGGGGCCTGTGCACACAGCAGCCACACAACTGCATCCACAGGGCCTGTGCACCCTTGTTTCATGTCCCAAGGAATCTGCCAGGTCTCCCTTCTTATGTGGGGACACCAGGCAGATATGTACAGATCTCCTCTCTGCCTCCCCCACCGGCAGGTACTTACAAGTCAGCACGGCCAGCGACCGGTTCTTGGGCATGTTCTCCTCCCTCTGGGCCACGAGTGAGCTGTTGGGCTCTGCCTGGTAGGTGCACAGTGCCTCCCATTCCTGGTCCAGCCGGTTCTTGTTCCTCAAGTGGTCCTCCATGTAGGCCTGGAAGAGGACACAGAGTCAGGACAGGCTGTGAGCAGGGAGACTGCTGGGACACAGCAATCCTCTTGGTTTTTCCTGGGCCTCCAGGTGGACTTGAGGTCCCTGTGTGGGGGCCAGGCTTGGGCACCAATCAAGAACTGAGTCATGAAGTCCACGCTGCAGACAGGATGAACTGTGTGGAAGGTTCAGTCACACTGAAGTAAGGAGGTCGGGTCTAGCCACATGGTGGATGGTAGGGTCTGGCATCTTGCCTTCCCGCTGGGGGAGGGAAACGCCACCACCTCCCAGGGGATGGGCGGGCCCGGATCCCTGGAGACAGGGGCGGGCTCGTGGCTGGTAGGTTACTGAGTCTGTCAGTCCAGTGTCTGAGACTGGGAATTTCCGGTGGACCTGCCCCCTGCGCTGACCCTAGTGAGGACAGATCAGCACAGGCCTCATTACGCATGCCACGTGTCTCCATGTCCTGTGTCCTGTCTCCTGGCTCGTCTCGGATCATCATGGTGTCCCTGTTCAGCTCTCCATCGGAGCTGAGTTGGTTTGTTGGTTTTTTGTTCTTTCCTCTCTGGCCTTTCCTAAAAGGTGTATTTGGGGGCTGCAGGTCTTTATAACAACGGTTGTCTACAGCCAGCTAACTGTATAATAAAGACTCCAATGCTCTAATCATCCAGAATGTGGCTTCTGGGATGATTCACCTTCAACAGTGTCAGATCGTCAGATCCACAGTGTGTGGACCTGGGGAGAAGGAGCATGGAGAGGCTGGGCTGGGCTTTGTGTGTCCCGAGATGTGCAGGCCTGGACAGGGACCCCAGGGCAGAGGTGTGTGCGCAGTGGGGTGCAGAGGGGTGCAGCGAGGTGCAGTGGGCACAGCGGGGCGCAGTGGGCACAGCAGGGCGCAGTGGGCACAGCGGGCACAGCAAGGCGCAGTGGGCACAGCGAGGCGCAGTGGGCACAGCGAGGCGCAGTGGGCACAGCGAGGCGCAGTGGGCACAGCGGGGCGCAGTGGGTGCAGTGGGCACAGCAGGGCGCAGTGGGCACAGCGGGGCACAGCGAGGCGCAGTGGGCACAGCGAGGCGCAGTGGGCACAGCGGGCACAGCGAGGTGCAGTGGGCACAGTGGGCACAGCAAGGTGCAGTGGGCACAGTGAGGCGCAGTGGGCACAGCGGGGCACAGCGAGGCGCAGTGGGCACAGCGGGGCACAGTGAGGCGCAGTGGGCACAGCGGGGCACAGCGAGGCGCAGTGGGCACAGCGGGGCACAGCGAGGCGCAGTGGGCACAGCGGGGCACAGCGAGGCGCAGTGGGCACAGCGGGGCACAGTGAGGCGCAGTGGGCACAGCGGGGCACAGCGAGGCGCAGTGGGCACAGCGGGGCACAGTGAGGCGCAGTGGGCACAGCGGGGCACAGCGAGGCGCAGTGGGCACAGCGGGGCACAGCGAGGTGCAGTGGGCACAGCGGGGCACAGCGAGGTGCAGTGGGCACAGCGGGGCACAGCGAGGCGCAGTGGGCACAGCGGGGCACAGCGGGCACAGTGAGGTGCAGTGGGCACAGCGGGGCACAGTGAGGCGCAGTGGGCACAGCAGGGCACAGCGAGGCGCAGTGGGCACAGCGGGGCACAGCGGGCACAGTGAGGTGCAGTGGGCACAGCGGGGCACAGCGGGCACAGTGAGGTGCAGTGGGCACAGCGGGCACAGTGAGGTGCAGTGGGCACAGCGGGGCACAGCGAGGCGCAGTGGGCACAGCGGGGCACAGCGGGCACAGTGAGGTGCAGTGGGCACAGCGGGGCACAGCGGGCACAGTGAGGTGCAGTGGGCACAGCAAGGTGCAGTGGGCACAGTGAGGCGCAGTGGGCACAGCAGGACGCAGCAGGACGTTCATTCATGATGCGTCAAGCTAAAGCACTCATTGTCTCATTTCTCTCCAAGACACGGGCTGGGAACAGATGCGGTATGGTGACAGCTGCCTGAAATTACTTGTCTGAAAAACAGGAAAATGTCACTTGAACCAAGGCACCGCCGAGGCCTGCTGGGGACCTGGGACCCAGGGTGCGGGCAGCGCGCTCTGCTGTCTCGGGGGCTGAGAGGGGTTCAGGGGCAGGAAGGGGCCGTGACAGGGGTGTGAGGTGTGGGGTGTGTGTGAGGTGTGAGGTGTGAGGATGTGTGAGGTGTGAGGTGTGAGGGGGTGTGAGGTGTGAGGGGGTGTGAGGTGTGAGGGGGTGTGAGGTGTGAGGAGGTGTGAGGTATGTGAGGTGTGAGGTGTGGGTTGGTGTGAGGTGTGTGAGGTGTGAGGAGGTGTGAGGTGTGAGGTGTGGGTTGGTGTGAGGTGTGTGAGGTGTGAGGAGGTGTGAGGTGTGAGGGGTGTGAGGTGTGAGGGGGTGTGAGGTGTGAGGAGGTGTGAGGTGTGAGGATGTGTGAGGTGTGAGGTGTGAGGGGGTGTGAGGTGTGAGGGGGTGTGAGGGGGTGTGAGGTGTGGGGTGTGTGTGAGGTGTGAGGATGTGTGAGGTGTGAGGGGGTGTGAGGTGTGAGGGGGTGTGAGGTGTGAGGAGGTGTGAGGTGTGTGAGGTGTGAGGTGTGGGTTGGTGTGAGGTGTGTGAGGTGTGAGGAGGTCTGAGGTGTGAGGGGTGTGAGGTGTGAGGGGGTGTGAGGTGTGAGGAGGTATGAGGAGGTGTGAGGTGTGAGGATGTGTGAGGAGGTGTGAGGTGTGAGGGGGTGTGAGGTGTGAGGGGGTGTGAGGTGTGAGGGGGTGTGAGGTGTGAGGAGGTGTGAGGTGTGTGAGGTGTGAGGTGTGGGTTGGTGTGAGGTGTGTGAGGTGTGAGGAGGTCTGAGGTGTGAGGGGTGTGAGGTGTGAGGGGGTGTGAGGTGTGAGGAGGTATGAGGAGGTGTGAGGTGTGAGGATGTGTGAGGAGGTGTGAGGTGTGAGGGGGTGTGAGGTGTGAGGGGGTGTGAGGTGTGAGGGGGTGTGAGGTGTGAGGAGGTGTGAGGTGTGAGGAGGTGTGAGGTGTGGGTTGGTGTGAGGTGTGTGAGGTGTGAGGAGGTCTGAGGTGTGAGGGGTGTGAGGTGTGAGGGGGTGTGAGGGGGTGTGAGGTGTGTGAGGTGTGAGGGGGTGTGAGGTGTGTGAGGTGTGAGGTGTGGGGGTGTGAGGTGTGAGGAGGTGTGAGGTGTGATGAGGTGTGAAGTGAGGGGGTGTGAGGTGTGAGGTGTGAGGGGGTGTGAGGTGTGGGAGGTGTGAGGTGTGAGGGGGTGTGAGGTGTGAGGAGGTGTGAGGTGTGAGGAGGTGTGAGGTGTGAGGTGTGAGGGGGTGTGAGGTGTGAGGGGGTGTGAGGTGTGAGGGGGTGTGAGGTGTGGGAGGTGTGAGGTGTGAGGGGGTGTGAGGTGTGAGGAGGTGTGAGGTGTGAGGAGGTGTGAGGTGTGAGGTGTGAGGGGGTGTGAGGTGTGAGGGGTGTGAGGTGTGAGGGGGTGTGAGGTGTGAGGAGGTGTGAGGTGTGAGGATGTGTGAGGTGTGAGGTGTGAGGGGGTGTGAGGTGTGAGGGGGTGTGAGGTGTGAGGGGGTGTGAGGTGTGAGGAGGTGTGAGGTGTGAGGAGGTGTGAGGTGTGGGTTGGTGTGAGGTGTGTGAGGTGTGAGGAGGTCTGAGGTGTGAGGGGTGTGAGGTGTGAGGGGGTGTGAGGGGGTGTGAGGTGTGTGAGGTGTGAGGGGGTGTGAGGTGTGTGAGGTGTGAGGTGTGGGGGTGTGAGGTGTGAGGAGGTGTGAGGTGTGATGAGGTGTGAAGTGAGGGGGTGTGAGGTGTGAGGTGTGAGGTGTGAGGTGTGAGGAGGTGTGAGGTGTGAGGGGGTGTGAGGTGTGAGGAGGTGTGAGGTGTGAGGAGGTGTGAGGTGTGAGGGGGTGTGAGGAGTGAGGGGGTGTGAGGTGTGAGGTGTGAGGGGGTGTGAGGTGTGGGAGGTGTGAGGTGTGAGGGGGTGTGAGGTGTGAGGAGGTGTGAGGTGTGAGGTGTGAGGTGTGAGGAGGTGTGAGGTGTGAGGGGGTGTGAGGAGTGAGGAGGTGTGAGGTGTGAGGGGGTGTGAGGTGTGAGGGGGTGTGAGGAGTGAGGTGTGAGGGGGTGTGAGGTGTGAGGTGTGAGGGGGTGTGAGGTGTGGGAGGTGTGAGGTGTGAGGGGGTGTGAGGAGGTGTGAGGAGGTGTGAGGTGTGAGGAGGTGTGAGGTGTGAGGAGGTGTGAGGTGTGAGGGGGTGTGAGGTGTGAGGGGGTGTGAGGAGTGAGGTGTGAGGAGGTGAGGTGAGGAGGTGTGAGGGGGTGTGAGGTGTGAGGAGGTGTGAGGTGTGAGGGGGTGTGAGGAGGTGTGAGGTGATGGGGTGTGAGGAGGTGTGAGGAGGTGTGAGGGGGTGTGAGGTGTGAGGGGGTGTGAGGTATGAGGAGGTGTGAGGGGTGTGAGGAGGTGTGAGGTGTGAGGAGGTGTGAGGGGGTGTGAGGAGGTGTGAGGGGGTGTGAGGTGTGAGGAGGTGAGGTGTGAGGAGGTGTGAGGTGTGAGGAGGTGTGAGGGGGTGTGAGGTGTGAGGAGGTGTGAGGTGTGAGGAGGTGTGAGGGGGTGTGAGGAGGTGTGAGGGGGTGTGAGGTGTGAGGAGGTGTGAGGAGGTGTGAGGGGGTGTGAGGAGGTGTGAGGGGGTGTGAGGTGTGAGGGGGGTCATGGCTGTAGGGGGCGAGGGCAGCCCCTCTGCTCTGGGACCACAGGCAGAGCCACCATTCACGCTGGCACGTCTGTAACGGGAGCCTGGCTCTCCCCGATGGGTGGCACCGAGGCACTGGCATGGTCTGTGAGCTAAGGTGCTGCTGGCGTGCACAAACCATGTGAAAACACACGTGCTGGTGTTGCAGGGCGTCATGGAGCTGGCCATGGACCGGGGGCCCGGGGCCTGCGCCTGACCCTGGAGGGCTGTCCCCAGCACCCCAGGTCCACACAGCCCAGGGCCTGCGCCTGACCCTCACAGGGCTGTCCCCACCACCCGTGACCACAGC